GTATTTATCAGTTGTGATTTGACTTAGTCTGTTCTGTGTCTCACAGTGAATTACGGAGTGCTTCTTTTGCAAGCCATATTGGAACACTGGAGGGAGACCTACACTGGAACAGCGGATGAAACTGATCAAGACCTTCCCAGAGCTGATTCACCAGGTTAGTACTAAACAAACAAGATTCGATGGTCATGGCTCTTTCCAGCAAGCCAGTGTAATGACATGCTGCAGCACAGGTTATTGTGTCACGTGTCCTCAAACAGTCCCGCTGATCCAATTATGGTTCTGTGTGAGTATAGTCCATAACTTTGACAGTTAAGTTTCTAAGTTTCTAGGATCACAATTCACCGTCCTAATCAGATTTCGAGCACTCTCAATTTGAATTCTAATTTGCAAACTACAAGGCAATAAATGATAATGCTGAACTCCGTTGCTAAAATGCTTACTGAAAAACGTGTGTGAATGTGACGGTTGTCCTCTGAAAACAACTCTCCATATGCTGAACAAGTCTTCTTTAACAATGCGCAATGTCCACGTTTATTTACTTTGACAGAAAGCGGAGATGCAAGCGCCAGTGAAGTTAACCTGAACCTTGAGTCTGTAAGTAGCTGCTTTAGGTTAACTATTGAATAGTGTAGGCAAAATTAAGTATCATCACTACCAAGATATTAGTGTTAAAGGATAAGGTGATCCTTTTGAATTCTCAAATCCCAACGGTTATTTGTCTGGTTTTGTAACGATTGGTTTGAAACTTGGTACTATTTGTGTTAAGATATTTGTATCCCTGGTAAAATACCAAATAGACAAGTAGTATTCGTCTTAACAGTGCGCGACTTTTTGTTTTATCAGATACGTGAAATTTGTATAGTAGTAGCATTTTAAAGTAGAGGAAGCAAATGTTCAGTGAAATCATCCTCGAGTTTCGCCTGATGTAATGTCGGTAATTTGGTTTGTGTTCCCAGCGTGTGATGATGGGCAATGGTTTCTTCAGTGTTCCTGAACACACCCCCCTGATCTTCACAGAGAGTAGTGGCACAGGGAGGACTTTGTTCCGCCTGCTGGTAGCAGATGCCTCCGGAGAGAATGAAGCATATCTATTGGCTGAAACTGTCCCTAACTGGGCAGTTGACGTCACAGTTAAGGTAGATAGTTTTGAAGTTCAAAATTAACTTGCAGGTTACTGATTAATTTATTAGCTCCAGAGATAAAAAATTAATAACGGGAAACAAACGGTCCTAACAAGACTCCTTATTTTATTCCTCCCTTTGAAATTGTTTCCGTGCGCGTCGGTAAAAACTGACATTCTCTGTTCCATAATCAACTGATATGAATATCAGTTTGTTCACGGATTCCTTGTAGGGAATCGGAACGTTGGCGTCCAGTGGATGCAAATAATGATTGGAAAACAATTATATTTTCGAGTTTTAAATGAAGGGCTATTGACTGTAAAGGAAGCGAGTAACTGGAAACGAAATTCTATTGATCTCCAGCATCCCTTCCCGTCTCAAAAACGTGTGTGCCTAAAGTCACTGGTAGTAACAAAATACGTGTTTAGTTTTCATTTTTGAACGGGTTCCGCCTGACAAGAATCTTTGCTTGGATCTAGTGAGCTTGACGTGAGTCAAATCAGGCTCAGAACATTCTTCTTTAGCAGTTTCCTTACGCTGCTCTACCATACATTAGTACACGAAACTCAACTTACTGCAAACTACACCTAACTCCGAATGCATGACTACCACAGCATGTTATTCTTAGCGACTCAGTTTAGCATATCCCACAATTGGCGGTAAGTTCCTTTAGCGCATGTTGTAATCTTTAAATGCACCAGCTCTTTGCTGTAACATAGCTCAACAATTTAGTCAGAAATGAATCGGTTCTTTTTGTCAACTAATTCATTATCTCAACTTTTTTAAATTTACAGAAACTGTCCCCGAAATTCAATAAGATAGCATTCTTCTTGCAACCTCATTCATCGAGCTCGTCAAAGGCATTGAAGAGGTAAAGTAGTTTAGATGAAATTGTGAATGGTTACAGTTCACCTCACTGGGAAGTTGTCTTATACCTTTTAAATAGGCTTGATTTGATTACCAGCCCTGGGAAGGAATGTAGACCCCCTCCCCTACCCTAAGGGTAGAAACGAACTAGAAACCAAGGGAAAAGCTGAGGGGAGCAGTGAAATTGAGCCCAGATTAACAGTATGTGCAAACACTTATAAAATATGTCCAAAGTGCTACTGAAACTAATTCTAAAACTCTAAGAAGGACCCCACGTTAAAAGGTTTACAATACTTTGCTAACTAACTGTTGTTTTCCAATGTTTACAGGGATCGCTTATCGGCCAGTGATATGCTGCACGTGCGCAAAGTCATTGAGCACGTGTACGAGAAAGTGGTGGGAAATGAGAACGCCAGCAATTCAGGTAACCACGCTGATAAAGAGCATGCCGGACCGCCAACCGAGGAAGAACTCGAGGAACTGTTGGCGCTTGCGGAGGCCCGGGTCGAGCTTCTTTGTCACGAGCAGGTCAGTTTTGTCTTGATAAACGAAATGACTCCATGTTGTCAGTTTGTATCCATCATCTTATTGGTTTAAATCATCAGCCATGTGTGGATGTTTGTGAATGTTAGGTTGTCCCAGTTGTAGCTAAGAATTTTTGATATCCTTTTTTTTTGATACTTACGAAATACTTCACGGCGATTAGTTTACGTATGTTAACAAGAAATATCTGTATCTGATGGTGTGTTTGTCCTTCGTTCTTGTCTATCGGTCATTAGTCTTTGTCTTTCTGTCTGTTCGTCTGTCTGTTTTTTTTTTTTCATACATCGGTTAGCGTCTTCTACTTCCTCCTTCGGACCACGTTGCAGTCAGCACAAAGTCTTAAGTTAAATCCTGTTCCTCTTGTAGGTACTAGATCCTAGCATGGACTTACGGACAGTGCGACATTTTATATGGAAAGGAGGAGGAGACCTGGTACTACAGTACCGAATCATGAAGTGAACCCGTAAGCCCTGCCCCAGTCTCCTATGGAGCCAGATAAGCGAGGGAAAACTCGGTCGAGGATATCTTCCTCACAGAAAAATCCGTGACGTGAGCCTCCAGCTGTCACGTGAGAGTTATCGCAAGACATCGGTGTCAGTTTTGTCTGAAATGGGCCGGCGCGCTTGAAGAGGTTCTTCCTCTAAACAATAGTGGGCTGCTAGTCACTGAAGATGTTAGAGAATATTTATTTATTTTTCGACGCTCGCTAGCTTATTTTTATCAATGGTGGCATGCTGCTGAGGAGGAGGACAGACGGACGACAATTGGATGTGCAAATTTGATAGCCCGGCCTTACACACCTGTACAATGTACATTAAACCTTATAAAAACTATTATAAGTTAAAACTATGTCGCATTACAACAGTCATTTAAGAACTATATAATGCATGATTAAATTTGAAATTCTGTACTCTGTCTGAAGTTGTATTCTACTGAAACCAGCCAAACGCTTGAAGTGGTTTTTAGTTGCTAGGACATGTTTGCATCTGTTTTCTTTTGAAGGCAAAGTAAGCTGAATGGCAAGGAAAATCGACATCGTAAGAACAAAACTACTCAGTTAGTTTTGTCTTTTCTCAAAATTTTTCACGTACGTTATGATTTTTTTTGACAACGAGGGGTGGCGCTTTTCAAGACCGCGTCGAGCAGTATGTCGGCTGCAGCAATGGGCCTGGCTAACACCAGCTGACGATAGGGGTCTCCTGCTGTTTTTTGTCATCCCCTGCAAAAACTGCATTGCCCTGGGAGTATTCCAACTCTTCCAGGACTCTCCTGAACGTAGTAACTGAAATGAATAAATATAAATAAATAACAATTAAAGTTAATAAATGAAGAAGTAATAACTGCATCACCATCGTCTGTCATCTGACCGAAACTTCTCTTTTGCCTGAAGTTAGTTAGGAGACACTTTCAGCTCCCTATACCTCTCAAGATCTTTTATCTTTGGATTGAACCTTTAAACAGACGAAGTAGATAATTAGCGAGAAAGCGAAACGAGTAGATGTCGCTAACATCGTATCAAATATCCATAAACAACTGCCAATGGTGTTATAGGTGTATGTATGTGTACCCGTAGTAGGAGTAGTTAGACAACACCCAAACAACAGGGCCTACTTGCAGGCTAAACACACGGCGTTGAGAGGTTTACAAGGTAAAAACCAGGTTTTATTGAAACCCCTGAACAGAAGCCTATCTAAAATTACTTCTGTTATGGACTTTCATTAACATCTGCGCCTCAATTTTGAAAATATTTTAGAAACTATTTGCAGCGTTAGTTATAATTCAAGCAACTGGAACTGCCTGCCTTAGAAGCATTCTGATCATTGTTTCGAAGAACTCTACCAGGACTCTAGCAACTAGACAAATCGACAGTGGTTTAGCATTCGTCATCACAGTGGTCAAATGTTCTCCCTCGTTAGTTTTCAACAAATTTTGACCACTGTGTTGATGAATATTGTTGTTGATAAGAGTACGTACCATGTTAACCATTGTCGATTTGCTTTTGCCAAAATATCAACGTCAAATAAAGCGATGCTTTCAGTGCGTGACCATTGCGTGACACGTTAGAGCGAACGGCGTTGTTAGTACTCTCATCGACGACGGCAAATTTTGGCCAATCAGATTGCGACATTCCTGCGTATTGTTAAAAAAACTACCCAATTGACGCCTACTGTGTTTTTCGTATGAGAACGATGCTAATGTACATAAAATTGATAAGCGTCGTTATCATTGGCGCACTTATGACCCACTGGTGCGTGAAGTGTGATCCCTGTTCTGAAGACTACGAGGGAGAAATCGAAAGAGAGTTTGTTTTGCGAAGTCCACAAAACCTGACTGTAAGATGTCATTGTGTTTGCTTTAAACAAATCAAAGATCTTTTGGGAGCGAAATAATTCTCATGAACTATTTATCTGAAACAATAAGTTTTAAGTGATTGGTTGAATTACATTTATCCTGGAAATTTATGCACAGCATAATTGATCAGCCCAGTTGACCCTCGTGATTAGCGACACATCGGTTGTACAACGATGGCGTCTTCCGCCCAAGGAAATGGAAATAAAGTACAAGACGATCCAAAGGGTAAGTAGTCTTTAAATTTACACATTTCTTTCGGACTCTTTCAAGATTTTCTCTCCTTTATTCTCACTGGGGCGTTCGTTTGTCATTCTATGGTTCAATGGTTCTGCTTTCATATGTGCAACGATAAATTCTCGTCAGCTCAGTTTTTGTACTGTTATTGAGTACAGGCTGTCGGAAAGTACAGAACTCGTGCAACGTCACCCTGTTCTTATACTCTCTTGAAAAACATTTATTCGGCAATGGTTACAATGCTTGCGTGCACAATTAGAAACGAATTCAGTAAGATTTAAGCAACGCCAACAGACATGGGCAAATATCTGAGACGTCAAAGCTTCTTAGGAGCGAAAATTGTACGATTTACTTTTCTTGTGAATTACCTTGATTTAAATTCCGAAACTCAGCGGAAGAAGTGGTAAAGCTTAACCAAAGCTTAACCAAAGAATTAAATATTCACTAATATCATTGAAACGGAAATGCATTTTTATGGCGAAGTGATGTTTCTGATATCAACACATTAGCAATCATTAGAGCTCCTGGTGGTTGATTCAGGGTATTTTTACAACATTTATTAACTTCCCATTAACAGAAAGTGCTTATCTGTTTAGATGCTTCTAGTGCTGTTCTGTAAAGCTCTCCCGAAAGCGTAAAAAAATGAGCAATCAACAGACCGAAATGTAAATTTCGCGCTTGACACACTTGAAAGACAGCAATTAATTTTGTCACATAATTTACCATCCCAGAAGGGTTTAAGTCAAACTATTTTCGTATTTTAATTTGTTTACTGATCAATGATTGAATCTATTGAATATTGATAATTTGTTCTCTATCTGCAGCCGAAAACTTGAAACTTCTAGCTGACGTAAACGGTAATTATAAGTGTAATAATAATGATTTGTTTTACTTTAAATTGGTTATGGGATTTTCAAGGTGTAACGAAGGGAATGCGTGGGAGAGACAGGTGGTAGAGAAAGTCAGTTGATCTGCATTTGTTCACGGCAAACAATTTAAATTGATATCTGTAATCTAAGTTATCATTTCCAGGGTTGAAAAGAGTTCCTTCAAAACAAACAAAAAAACAAAACAAAACAAAACAGAAAAACTGGAGGAAGCATTATGAAAGTGTTGACTTGAAGGGCTATAATCTTATGTCAATCTTGCGTGAGGGAAATGGAAATCTTGTGTCACGCAAGGGACTTTCCTGAAGCGCTAAAGAACGATTATAACGCCTGGCGATTTTTATTCAAATGCAAATATATTGGCTCATTGTCCAGGAAGGACTTCGACGGATCTGGGAGACGTGACGTGGAAAAAAAAGCCGAGCAAAGAAAGCTGCTCAGTTTTTCAAAAGATTTTGTCCGAAGTGGTTTATACATAATTTATTCATAATTTGATTCGTAAAGTGTGTCTTGGAAATGGCGGACGAAGAAGACGGTAAGCATTTGCGATACGTGGGGTTGTTGTAGTTCAAAGAATCTTAGAAGAGAAGCAGGCTTGTTACTGTTAATCTGCTGATTGAAAAGAAATGTACACTTTGGTTTTGTTTTCTGACTTATTTTCGCAACCGTGGCGTATCGTGTAAAGGAAAGAGAATATCCAAAATTACATTTCAGATGCAAAATGCGTTGGTTTTTCAGCTGAACGAAACGTCGCAGGTTTTTGCAAACGTTAGTCTTCGAGATGGTTTACAACTGAACGAAAAAACGTGTCAGGCGTGTTAGAACTTGACCCGCGGACTAAATTCGCCTTCTCGGTCAGCGAAAACGTGTTTACCTCTGGCGAAAATCATGAACTTTAAACTTGTTCACCGCTATTTGCTGTACGATAACCGCATTACCTCAATGGGTGCTGTTTATTTGAACAGGTCATAGTTTACAACTCACTGGTTCATGTACTCTGTTGTTTTCAATTTATTACGCCATTTTAGTTTGGCAGTCGGTCACGTAATTTATTCAACATGTCTTGTTTTTAACGCATTTTGCTGGTGATAATGTTGTCGTTATCCTGACTTGAACCGTCTTTCAGGAAAGATGTGCGATTGATTTATTTGTCAGTAATATAGATTCTGATCGAAACTTGGAATTTGTCAATATAAGAATACCTGAACGCGCCCCCACTAAAGTTAGGATTTAGAGGGAGTTTATTGCGGGTGTCTTTGAGGTGGTTCATAAGCAAATATTTTCATAACGTTCTTGGTAACCAAACCGAGTAGCACCTCCTATTTGGAATTTGTATGATTGAGATAAAAAGCTATGATGGAGAAGCGCTCTTTTTGTACTCTTCTGAGCAAAGTATAGCTGTTCAAAATTTCACTGAAAGCGAGAGGAAAAGTTCGAATTTCAACATCGGTCATTAGTTATGGTCACGAATGTGTTTTCAGAGCCTTGAAAGATAGATTTTGGTAGTTTTCGCTGATATGAAAATTCAAGCCAGTTAATTGAACAACTTCAGGATCATAAACATTTGTCAACACCTGTGCAGGATGTCAGATAGCTGGCTCTTCTTGTTCTCATCTGTATTTGTCCACTTTTATTATGAATTGCGGTTAGGTTTTGTTAAAAGCTTCCTTTCAGATCAGACCTTTGTTGAGTGGGTTCTTGATGAAGGGAGTTTTCTGCATGATGTAGTCTAAATGATAATGACGTGAGTGTCCATTGTTACTTTCAAGAGATTCGTTTCCTAAAAAAACAAAACGCGGTCAAATGACCTTTAAGTATTCACGTAAATGCAGGATTTTTTTCTTTCAGTCTTGAACTGAAGGACTTTTTATGGTTTAATAATATTTTTGAGACCAAAATGCTATAATATTTATAATTATTCAATGTTTTTTTTGTCTGTGTTGGTTATGCCATCTGGTAAGCTTCTGATAGTCAGTTATCCCCCTAAAGCACACACAGTCATTCTTTCCTACAGACTGATATCACCATTTTCACTACCACATGACTTTCAAGATAAAATTTGAAGTTGATTTATCTGAAGGGAAAGTCACTTCATCAAATTAAAGTGATTAAAGGCCATAATGGCGGCATTCATGCATAAATTGTCTGTCAAATCCTGAAAATTAGAGTTCTACTTGCTATGCAGGTCACACTTTCCTTTGATTTATTTCACTTTTATTATGAACTGGTATATGGCAGTGAATTCTTTATTTTTAAAATTATTTGTCAGTTTAAAGTAAGTTAATTTACATGAAATGAACAGATGCTGAATATTTGTGTATACAAGTTAATGTTAAAACCATATTCTTAAATTTCCTACAACTGTCCAATGTTTTCCACATGTAAAGAATATTGCTTTATTTTAATCCGACATTTTGAATCCCTCTTTTAAAGGAAAGAAAAACAAAACTACATTCAAAGGACCCATCTCAGACAGGTATTTAGAGTTGTAATGATATAGAGTTGGACCTCTCTAATATGGACACTGATGGGACAGAGGGTTATGTTGACGTGATGGAGTTGTCCATTTTACAGAGGTCACTTGGGTGGTGGCAACATTGTAACCCCTGACAAATTTTGAAGTGTTGGGTAACTGAGAAGAAGCACACACCCTGCAGCAAAGTTTTTTTAAAGACATTTTCCAAAAAGGAGAACAAAACAAACGACAACCCAGTGGAAAATACATACTGTGCATTTTGTTTCATAATGCTTAGCTCCAGTGAATTAAAGGAAGATGTTTAAGTTCTTCATATAGGAAATTTTATCACATGCACAAATTTATATATCTCCTTATCTGCAGAATAGATGCAAAATAGGTTGAGGGTTTAATGATATTTGTTATCCTGGGTTAAAAATTCAGTGTTGGTTATTGTCATGTCACAGGGTCTGTATGCGAATAAAGAAAGGATGGCCTGCATTGCATGATAGTTTTGAAAAGCACCATGAAATGGCTGGTTTTTTTTTAACATATTGCTTCATAAGGTGCAAGAATAAGGAGCTTAAACCCTTGTCCTTACATTTCTGAGGGTAGGAATATCTAATTATGTCCATAAACCCTGATTATTTCTCAAATCTAACTTTAAGAACTCTTTTGTTATCTGATGTTTTGTGTAGGTCATGCACGGACATTCCCTGCTGTATTCTGTTTGTGGCGTATATTGTTGGCATGGTTGTTGTAGGAATTATTGGTAAGCATTGAGTGGAAAAGTTTTCAGTTTTACTGTTGGAGTTGTAATGGTTTTTCATCATATATTTATCCATGTGTTTTGACATAAAGACCTGTTATACAAAAAAATTTGCAAATTCTAAATTTTGTTCTTTACGTTTACACTCTATAGCTTTCAAAGAAGGAGATCCTGATAGACTTCTGTTGCCACAAGATTCGCAAGGTATTTGAGTGCTCAAGAAATGAAATTTTAATTTTCATCTAGAGCTGAAGCCATGGGTGGTGGATCAAACATGC